GATTGTTGAATTTGAAAACCACACAATAATGAGGCATCTTTGATGCAACTTGCCAAACGCGGCGACGATCTGATGTCAAGCTCCACATGAACTCCAACCACTTGAAACCGTGATATTCCACAGGRATCCCAAGTAAATTCCCATATTTTACTGGCACTTGATCGAATTTTTATTTTCCATTTTCATTTTACAAGCTTTAATGTACATTTTAAGATAAGGAACAGTTTAAAAGGGTCCCTTTAAAACAATACATCAAGAATAACGTACAAGGCAACAAAATACCTGGTAGAGAATTTCATACATATTTTTGTAGTTTTATTTTTTACTAGCCATAAGCTAGCATACAAAAAAAGCTAAAAGTTAAAAAATAACTCCCAATACCAATAATGAATTATTTTCAAAGAAAGAAAAAAGAGTAGTAAAATAGCTTTGATATGAGCAATAATCCTTACCTTCCTATATATCAAACCAGTAACAGCAATTCTAAGCTGCATTCCTGCTCTCCGGCAAATAAAATAGTATGCTTGATGTAGGAACATTGCTAACAGTATTGTSAAAACAAGGCCTGAAGCAAACATATAAGCATGTAAWCTKCTCATGCGTGATTCTGGATTGAAGTAGGACACCAAATAAAGAAGAAAATATGCTTCTGCCACACGCGAACTTTCCTAAAAAGAAATTAAAGGGTTCAGAGAACAAAGTGATTGATAGAGGATCAACTAAAGCTTGCATATAATAGATGGGAACACAGTCTGGTCTCCCAGTAGGGAACTATTCACCCTTCTCTTCCTGCTGAAAGAGGGTCAATATCAGAAATAACTTTTAATAGGTTAAGAAACTAATGGTAACACATATCATACCAGGATCAAGCCAGATAGTCCAGTGATGAAAATTTTCCATTTAATAAGCTTAGCAAGGGATTTTGTGAGGCTAGGTTTTTTATTAGACAAATGYACTTGTTGCTTGTGTCTGACCTCATTTTTCCAATCTCTGTCAATACAAGTAGAACACCATATTAAAACCCAAAAATCATAACGGATGTGATTCCTTATGACCATTCTATAATTATTGCTACAGGGTACATTTACAATATTTAGCACTAGCTTTTCCATTCAAGCCTTAATGTTCTCTGAAACATAAATTATATGCACATGTCAGAGTTGCCATGCTACAAAAGGGTGCTTAAGAATTAAGACCCCTTTGGTCCATGYTAAATCAATAGAGGCTAAATTGCACTGTCATGGTGATTACAGTGTTAAACCCCTTTTTTGATGAAATAAAAGACTTTTGTAATTCATGAGATAGCTCTATTAGTAAGAGAAATAACATTGTCAATTTAGGTCAGGCGATTGGCCTTGCATCCTGAATACAGCACTGATGTTTTATTCACCAGTGTTGTATCATACATGTAATATACAAGAAGCAAGCTCACGCCTCACGCCATTATGTGGTAATACATTCTTCTTACTCTTCAAGTCTTGATGTCAACTTTTCACTTGAGTCTTGGTCTAAAACTTCATAAAGGTCATTTRGCTCAAGACGTCTGTCATATCCCTTTTTAAAAAGTCCATTCATCCACCTGAAGTTTGGAATAAATTTCAACATGAATTTATAGATCTATGGAATCTTAGTATAAGCACTAAGTGAAAAACCTATAAAACTCAAGGCTTAACAAGAGCATGGTGAATGATTTTAAAATAATTGATCAATAAATTTTATTTGTCTGTATCTGAATCTGTTGCAATCTTTAAGCATTAAGTAAGTCCTGGCTATGACATCACTAGGATTATACCCCCATGGAAACCCATTGCTTTACTACCATTGTGCAATGTTAATCAAAATACTCTAAAATCAGTCCTTATATTATTAGCAGATCAATAACATGCATATCCAATAATCTTAATAATTTGATTGCAATGAGGAATTCTGAAAAAGTTTGGATCCCAATTATAAAGGTATACTGATAGAATATAGACGCAAAATGACCACATCTACAAATAATATACTGCTCATTGTATCAAGAATGTAATGGAGGATAGAAAATAAGAGAGAGGTAAATGTGGAGAGTCATTTTCAGTGTATGAGAATATATGGCTACCAAAAGAGAGAGAGAAAAAAGTGGACATAAAGCCATTGCAATAATCCAAATGTCATTTTAAGACTGCAGYTCTRAGCACTGCAAGATTGTCTGGTTAACACAAAATGATCATTATTCTGTGACGATGTTTCTACGTTTGAGTCAAGGTGACTATCAAGAGCTTAAGATTGTGTGGGGCCCATAGATATGAGSATATTTATAACATTTTTAAATGTTAAAACTGTATTGACTGGTTGTAACATAATACGGGTTATAATTTTGACCTTGCATTGCATRATCACATGAAAAGGAATCCCTTTTCAGTCAATGGATCGGGGTTTTTTTTGGTTACAAATTAACACAGAAATCAGCATGGAAAGACTATTTTCATTGAAGTGGATTACTATAAGCTTAAGTCTTAATTGTAAATGCAGGAATAAAACACTTATGCTACAAATTTGTGTAGTAGTAAGCATTTTCTTCAGCCTAGCGCAAACTTAATCGTAAACGGTTATTTAAGATTTTTATGCAGACCGGTATTAGCTGTAATTAATAAATGCCTGGTATTATTAGTTCAACCAAATRTTTCTGCATCACACTAAGCGGTCAAGATCTCTTTTTTTTTCTTGAATTGCTCCTTTGCTTATATATAAAATGAAACAGTTATTTTAATATCAATACCATTTTGCACTTGATACAGAAATGCTTACGAAGATGAAATATCATCTAGGTTCAGAAAGATATAATAATTAAAATTACAGAGATTTGCAAGAAATGAACCAGCTTACACTTCTTGCCTAGTGAGCCTTATCGTTTATTAAAAATACGAGGATGTACTGTACTCACCAAAATGTTATTTTAGAGCAGCACCCAGCCTTTTGCATGGGATTTGGAAGACTGGATTTTTTAGAGAATTCCATTATTTCCTTGCAGGGAACCTAGAATCTCTGTTGACTTCAGGGAATTTATAATATAAATGAAGCTGTTAGGACGTAAACCGGAAAAGCCTGGGAAYGAGTCAGAATCATTCGATTGTCTTTTCGCTATATTAATTTTTATTTTTCAGGCAATATTTAAAAATTCCTTCAAATAACTCAATAGTAGCTGATCAAGTTTTTATTTACAATATGTGTGATTTTCCAAGTGAGTTGGATTTTGTTCGGATTTCTTCGTAAAATAGTCAATCTCGAGCCCAGAGTCTTCACGGCTAATGTCAGCGGAATGCTGACCAGTCGCCGGAAAGACTCTGGAGGAATCGACTGGATTTGCGACGCTTTTCCGTCGCAAATTAGGTCAGTTTTGTTTTTGCCGCTTTAGAGCATCAAAATGATAAAAAAGAAGGAGGTTTAGCACACAACTTCGTTTAGTAACGGTAGTTACACCTTTTTTAAAAGCAAAAATGTGTGAAAAAAGGTGTTTTTATGCGATAAAAGTATGATATTTTTGACTAAACAGGCGAGCGCGCGCTGGCAACTTGAAAAACCGACTTGAAAACAATGCGCGCTCGCGACATTTTCAACCAATCAGAAATCGAGAAAAAATGCATTCCTCCAGAGTCTCTCACGCAGTCATCCGCTGGATGGCAAAAGTGTGGGCTCTGGGCACGAGATTGTAAAATAGTCGGTTCGTTCTACTCGGAATTTTTAAATGCCGCTGACTGTGATGAAAGCTTCTGTGGGCTCAAATATAAATGCACCACAAAATAAAATGGAGGAAAACGTTCATATTATTTCAAGAGAGGATTTCCAGGTAAAATTAATCATTTGATATATTGGCGTACAATGTATAGGTAGACTAACTGTATATAGATTGTTTTCAAATTGCAAATAAATCCAACATTGTGCCTTATAAAATTCAGGATGCTGAAGAAAGATACATCAAGGAAGTTTCACTTGGGGAAGTAAAACCAAATACTCAATTCCACTATGGATACTGTTTGATTTATAGTCAAAACAAAAGCGATATTACTAAAGGACTTCGTCTATTACAAGGTATTTATTTAAAACGTGTGTTTCAGAGCCAAATATTTTTTTGCTGACATAGGGCTATTTAAACTTATGTTTAATGAGCTTATTGCAAATGTAAGTTAATATAAATCTACATCTGGCTGCTCACCTCTTTTTGCCTCAGGATGTGGACTTGCATGTTTGCCGTATTCTATTTATAATTTCATGGCAATTATATTTATATTGTGTCCGCACTTTCAATCATCACTCTCTTCAGAGGATCCCTGACTGATCTGCTCAATCATGCTTTAAAAACAGCAATTATGATGTTCCAAGGGAAGCATCAAGGAAAGGAGGAGGCACACTACAAGTCTAAATTGATAATGAAAGCTCAYCAATCTATTTTATTCTATCTATTTGGATTGTGAGAAAATTGTCCTGATTTTCTCTCATCCAAGGCATCATTCAGTAGTTGCCTTCTTTGCTTTTTTAGATTTGTGTCATAGTGGTACAGACCAAAGAGACTACCTGTACTACCTTGCAGAGGGCAACTACAGACTTAGTGTATGTACTCAATTTGACTCCCTTGATATATCTATTGAAAACAAAGACTAAAATTATGTCTCTGTGATATAGCTCTGAGGAACAGTGCCAAGGGTTAGGCCAATTAACATAAATGACTTTGAACTTCTGTGACATGGAAATCAAATYAAAAGAAAAAAAATTATTTGTTCATCATTTCTTCACTTGTATATTTTAATACATTATTTGTTTTCTTTTTTAGGAATACAACACAGCTTTGAAATACACACATAGAATATTACAGATTGAGCCTACAAATAGACAAGCTTTGGATTTGGATGAGAAAATACGAAAAAAAATGCAAAAAGGTAGTATCAAATAAKGACGGCTCAACCAGGCCAGTCCTATGTGTATTCATATTCATTTTCCAATGGTTGCTTTTTAGATGGCTTGATTGGTCTAGGGATAGTTGGAACAGCAGTGGTTGTTGGTGGAGCTGCAGCAATTCTTGGTTTTGTTGCTAGCCGGTTCAAGAAATAGAACACTTAAAAAGTTAACTGCTTATGATGATAAAACCTATGATGTAACTTCTTGAATTGAACATGAACATTAATTGTGTTATAACTTGATATAATTTAATGTGGGTGTGCATTAGAGCAGAATGCTTACACTTAGACTAATCCATAAGTTTTAGTTTTCTCTACTCAGATTGTTAACATAAGAAATATACTAAGCATTTCAATGGACAATTACAGGATAAACGCCAGTAATTCAATGTTCAAAATTCAATGATTAATAGCACTGKTGACTTTTGTTCACTTTGCATTTTGGTCAATATACTGGTAACCATAAATGATACTCCTAAATGTAACCTTCCCCYTCTTCTGTTAATTTGGATTTCCTTAATTGCTTGCATTTTGTTTATTTTTATTTTGCACTCTCTTATCTGTTATCAAGGAAGGGGCAAGGCATTGGAAGTGTGTAATTTTCTTCCAGTTTGGAAAGAAAGTATTTAAAAATACATTTTAAAGTGTAGATAAAAATGGAATATGTTTTATAAGGAAACTAATTAAATKAGTAGAATGCTCAATATAGTGGCTTGTTAGAAAAGTCAAAATACACTACCTGTGTTTCTTAAAATAATATTTGAGCAGTAATTGCCCTATTGCATAAATTGTGTTTCTTTGTGTTTACAGTGTAGTATAAATGCACTGAAAACGCTCTAGAAATTCCTAATTAATGATTACTTGCCTGTGTGTAAGTAAGAAATTAAAAAAAAAACCTTTTGCTGTTCTAGACAGGGGCGGATCCAGCATTTTATAAGGGTGGGGTGCTTTTGTCAATAATATATAGCTGAAAACTAAGTATAGCAATGAAACTTTTTTTGTTGTTAGCTCCGCGATTATTGTCTAGAGCAAGAAAATTATGCACAGTTTGACTGGAAGCAAATTGGCTTTTATTTCAGAGCGTCTTTACACTACTTAAATAGATTGTTAAGTAGCATAGTGSCAGACATGTTGTGTATGCTGCTCATTTTCTCAATAAAAGTATTCAACAGGAGTATAAACAGCAGAAAAAAACGTTTATACCGATATATGAAAAATAACGTCGTCCAAAAAGGGGGGTTGCGTCCACACCCAAAGCCTGGATCCGCCACTGCTAGAGATTCAATCTGTGTTTCTTAAGCCAGTTTTTCACATTTTTGTCATTTCTTAGTAGTACCTCTGTCGACCATATTCTATAAGTAACAGTTTATTTTGATATGATATCATTGTGCGATCGTTTTGTTGTAATAATTATGTTATTCACCTCACTGAGTCTGCCTTTGTGATGGAGTGTGTGTCCTGTCGACAGCCTGGGCGTAATTGCAATCCAGTTATTTACAGATAAAAATAAATAATATAATGATAATATCACGTTTGACCAAGTTCAATACTATTTCAATTCTCCAGAGACCCTAGAAAGTGCTAGGGATGGCTCCATATACTTTTTCAGACACTGATCATAATTAATCCTCTATATCATAAAAGGCATTTRTCTGCATCACATCAATCAGGAGCGTGTGTATGAGGGAGGGCTATGTTAAAATACCTTCACCTTGTCCAAGATATACCACAATAAAATGACTGTTTACTATTTTAAGTAAAGACATTTTTATTTTTCATCCAATTTGAAATATAAATGAATTTACCAAACGGATAAGACTACATGTAGAGTTTCAGAACTCAGTAATACTATCGACGCAATGCTAAATAATCCTGTTTCTTTTTCTGTTGTATCTTCTCATCTCTAGCGGCCTGAAAAATAACTTGGTTTCTTAGTATTAAAGTGCAACAGGACCATATCCAGGTCATAGTAGTTTATAATTATGGTAAGTAAACTAGAGTTTTCACCAAAAGCGTAAGCAGGAAAGACATGGGACTCGCGTATTGCTGAATAATTTTAATTATTCAGCAATACGCAATACTTAAAAGTTATATATACTTAAAAGCAATACGCAATACTTAAAAGTTATATATACTTAAAAGCAATACGCAATACTTAAAAGTTGCTTAGGCATTGTAAGAGCTTAAGAAGCAGTGACGTTTTACCGTAGACTGGCGATTCGACGTTTTTTCAAAATATTTGTTTTATTTTAAAATTGAATTGTATTATTACTGCATTGGAAATTTGAATGCGATATTTTGCCGTTTCAAAGACAAAGGCCCTGAACACAGGCAAAGATATGACTAACATATAATAGTTTTCTTGTCGAAATTTCATGGTCTACTTCTCTAAAATGGTGAAAAATGCGATGTGAACAACGTGACTTACCATAAAGTGCCCGGATGCCATTGATGTCATCTCTATGKAGCTTCATGTTTGCAACATACCCRGTGTAGTAAGGATACATGATAGCACCTTTCACGTCAGTATGATGGAGTCCTAAGGCGTGRCCAAACTCATGAGTAGCAACCCACAGGAGATTAGTTCCTTCTGAGGTATTGTGGGTGAATGTCTCGTCCTCGTCAAAATGCGCGCGACCATCTTCTGGGAAAAAAGCGTGCGCCAGGACCTTTCCTGGACCATCGAATGGGTAYCCGCAGGTCCTCTCGCTGGATGTACCATGGTGTGTTTTTGATCCAAAACTAAATAAAGAACAGACTAGTTACAATGTAATTGAGAAAAAATTGTTTCCAGTTTCGGGATCTTATTTGTGCAGCCTTAACCTCGAAAGCATGTAATATATTATTTTATTCAGCAGATATCCTGTTGTAATTCAAAAGCTCTATGTAAAAAGAAGACAATKAACAATTTATGCTTGATTGAATCTAAGCTTGCACAAAAGAGAATTCGAAACTGGAGTATTATAGATTTCAAACACTGGAAAATCACCAATCACAATTTGTTCCCTTCCTTTTTTCGTAAGTGTTCCGTCAAAGTAGTCATTTGGCACAACAAAAATGTATAAACTTGTGTATTTACGTAATCGAGGGTACGCGTCTGGGAGAAGGCAGACAACTGAGAGCTGTCAGTCATGATCTAACAATGTCCTACCTTATTTTGATATCAGCATGTTCAGCACGGCCAACCTGTCTGAACGATAACCCAGAGACRTCGGCCCAGTATTTAAGTGCATAGTAGAAAACTACGTCTTGTGTTCTCGTCGRTAAGTCACGACCATACTCAATGTAGTAATACAACTCCTTCTTTGACCAYGGTGTGGCTGTCTTGTATCGACGGATTCTCA